GAGTTTGTCGACTTTCTGCTAATTACTGCAAAGGAGAGCTCAAGGACGATGCAAAATGTATGATGATTATTGTGGAAAAAAAACGAAGAGTTGAACAAAGGTCAAGGCGTAATACGAGTATGGATACTTCAGATAATGACTACACTACATTCACTGCACTGCTTCATTGCAGGCATTTACATTAGTAGCTACTCAAACCATGCAAACATTTCAAACCAATATACAGAGCAGATTTAGAGTCAACTTTCATTAACGTGGTCCAAACAAACGCCGTATCATCACAAGAAAAGCTGTGTACATCAAATATTAATACACTTGCCCACATTTGGCATTGGAAATGAACACAAACAAAGAGCATTGAGGAAAACGTTACACTGAACATCACTGGTTCTCAACTGCAAGCCACATTGGTTAAGTATGCTCTTAATGCACCTCAACAATTAAATGTTATGAATGATCACTCCACTTAGCTTGGAAATAGGCAAATTTTATAACTCCCCTAGGGTTTAACAATTGTCAATATGTTTTACTTTTTTAAAGCTGCTCTCTTTCATAGTTGCATTGTGTACTAAGACTGATGCAAAATGTTGACATGGTTAGGAACAATACTCTTAATCTGGCGTAGTAATCAAGGAACGTTCTTGCTGTACCATGGCTGCAGAGGGTGCAATGATATAGTATTATGCAACACAGTTACTTATTTACCGAGCTTTGTAATATTTTCAAGTGCTGAGAATGTCATTCTTCTTGCAATCATGGTACATGGGGGAAAAATAAGTCCTTGATTAATGAAAATTATTGAAACTTTAATTATGTGAGCAAGATGCTAATGAACTGATCAGATTCAGTGCTTTGTGCAAAGCTAAACTACAAGTGTCCCCACCAGACCTGGAGATGAGAGCTAAATGGATGGAAAAATGGTATGCCTCAACAGTTTAACTCTAGGGGAATTGTAAAATTAACCTATTTCAAAGAAAAAAAAAAAGCGGAGTGCTACATTAATTTTAGCCATACATTGTTACACTCTGAACAGTTTAGGTACACCTTGCTTTTACACAGTTGGACTCCTTTGGCTTTCAGAAGTGCCTTAATCTTTCTGGGCACCAATTTAAATAAAAAGGTGTTTGAAATATTCCTCAGATTTTGGTTCATACTGTCATGACAACATAATGCAGCTGCTGCAAATTTGTTGGCTGCGTATGAATGATATGAATCTACACTTCAGTGCATCCTAAAAGTTTTGTATTGGACTGAGGCATGGATAATGTGGATTCATTTGAAACAGTGAATTTAACAATATTTAAGAAACCAGCTTGGGTTGATTTTACCACAAAATAAACACACTGTGGTTATAAAATGTAGAATTTAAGACAAATAATCCCCTTTCCCCAAAACTTTTGGCAAGCTTGTGTAAATTGTATAGCCTTGGTTTGGTGTGTATTGTGGACAGTAGTGTGTCAGCTGTACTCTTTTTCATTCGTACTGTAGCTCATCTGCTTAAAGTTTTGATGTTGTATTGTGTGTTCAGATATACTTTTCTGCAGAGAAAAGACCTTTGGCATCACCAAACTATTAATAGACAGAAATGGCATTCACTGTTATGGTACACAGCAGTATTCATGAAATATGTGACTCTTGACCACAAAATTAGCCATATGCGTAGGCCCACACGAAATCTGCGTGCGCAGATATCTGCATATTTTTAGCCCACTATTGAGTCTACACATTTACTGGGGTAAATGTGTGTAAATGTATATTTATTCAGATTTTGAATTAATTTCATTATTTATTGTTGACAAATATGAAAATGCTCATAAATTATTCACAATACAGTTAGAAAATTAATATTTTCTGTATTTTAGTAGATCTGTTATAGACATATATAAAAGACTTGTTTTGTTTCCCAAATAAGCAGATTGAATTAAATTTGCAATGTAAACATTAAAATAAATTTGTGTATGTATTAATGTATTAAAATGTAAAAATGTATTATTTTTTGTTCAAATAATAAGTTTTCGTTGTGATAATCCCAAAATCATTCCACATAACTACAGATTTTTATTTAATTTTTTTACAAAATTTTGTGCAGAAATACAAAAAAAAATGTCCACAGATTCTGTCTTGGCCTACATATGGGTAAATGTTTTGAGATTGAGATACACCATTTGAACACTAAATAAATAAGATATCCATTGATGTATGATTAGTTATGATAGGACACTACTAGATACAACAGTGAAAATCTGTAATCTATGGGATAAACAATTTGAAATATTGAGAAAACGGTCTTTAATATTGCTCAAATTAGGTTCTTAAAATGCATATCACTAATAAAAATGATAAATTATTTTAATGGAACATGATCTTTACTGAATTGTGTAATGGCTTTTGGCATAAAAGAAAAATCCTATGATATTCAAATATACAAAAATACCCTTGCAACATAAGACCAGGGTTAAATATAGCGTATTTTGCAGAGGTATATGAAGCACTGCTCAGTCACATTTTATTTTAGTAAATGCAGCAAATACACAACCACCTCTAAAATGTATGAAATTTCACCTTCATTTGAATATATATACACACCAGTAAACAGCTCATTTTAGTTAACTGAAAACGGCCAGCAAAAGCATCTTCCTAATGCCACCAGCATCGATCAAGTGACACGAATGTCTTCCAAAATGCTGTCGTTTTTTGACATCAACATCAAAAGAAGTGTTTGACTGCAAGAGTTCAGATGACAACTGGTAGTTACAAAGCGGATTCATTTTTCCCAAAACACAGATAGGACAGCATATAATTAAAGTGACAGCAAATACAAACAGAGAGGAGACAGCAAGTACTGAAATAACTGTGCCACCTTCAGAGTTTAATGCTTTGCAAACAGTGGGTGCTTTGCACACTAGAAAGTGCACTCCAAGGGCTCTCTCTCTCTCATCCTCATGATGAGGGCATCCTAACAAACGATGCTCATTCAAATGGCAAATTAATTTAATTACAGCAACATGTAAAAGCCTTGCTGCTGCAAATAAAGGGAGGAGCAGCAGGGAGGAGGGAGAGCAAACAGAGCGTAGTGAGAAACAGACGCCTCTCTTTCATTCTCATTCTGTGAGATAAGACGGGTGAACAGAGGAGCAGAGGTGCAGACAGACATACAGTAAAGTGCAAGCAGAGCAAGCAGGGCACCATCTGCTTCTGAAAAGGTGGCAAAATGAGCACCAGTTTAAGAACCGATGAGGAGAGACGTGAATACAGACATGGAAAACATCAATATAATGATGAAAATGTTGTGAGACAGCATTCGTTTTAATTATTTTGGTATATACAACATTTGTGTGTGCGCATGTATGCATGTTGAAAACAATTATAAACCGTTCTAGTATTCACTCACCCTCATGTCATTCTCAACCCTTGAGACTGTCGTTCCACTTAAAACACACACAATTAGGTAAATTTTAATCAGCACTGAAAATTTCTATTGAATATCTGTTTACAAAATGTTATGGGGGTCAGAATGAGGGAGTATTTTCATTTTGAGGTGCACTTTACATTATAAATTAATTTCATACTCATTTTTACTACTAAAAGTCCATGACTTTTCCAAGACTTTTTCAGAACTTTCAAGTACTTTTTCATGACTTAGTGTTTCATGTTGTAATGTCTACATATACATGGTAAATAAAAAAAACTATGACTTTCAAATTTATTACAGCATATCATATTACACACAACAGTCTATGTTGTTTAAATTTGTTTTTATATTATGTAAAATTGATTTTGATAAGACTTACACAGCACAAACAATGTGAGTAAGATTTTGGCCAAAGGGCGAAAGAAAGTAATGACAACTAACCTATATTCAAGTTAGGGCTGCACAATATATCGTTTCAGCATCGATAACGCAATGTGTGCATCCTCAATAGTCACATCGCAGGATATGCAATGTTGGGATTTTAGTTTAATATAAAGTTTAATCATAATCAGAGTAAAAGTTTATCATCTGCTTGTATTTTTAAAGAGATAGGTTACCCAAAAATGACTTACTATTTTCATTACACCCTTCCTTCACTTGTTTCAAACATTTATGATTTTCTTTTTTTTTTTTTTAAATGAATACAAAAAGAATATAATTTAGTAACTAGTGACGTAAATCTGAGTAAACTGTCCCTTTAAGGCCTGTGATTGTGTGAACATTTTAATATTTCAAATTTTAAAACATCCAGCCACAAGAAAGTTTTTGTAACTTTAATAAACATTAAATAATATACAATAAAAACTATGTAGTGCTGATTATTTAATATCTGTACCTGAATAGTGAATACCTGGAAACTATAATTCACTTTTATCTTTCCCATATTTTATTTATCTATGATTGTAATTTATTTGTTATATGTTATTCACGATTCACTCCCCTATAAAATCCCCCCAATCAATCCAAATAAACCTATTAAATAACCTAGTGAAATTGTATTCACATCACAGTATAGATCCCAGAAATACAAAATATCAATGTCAGATTTTTCCGATATCGCGCAGCCCTAATACAAGTATACAGACATTTGATAAACTATTTTCCATGACTTTTCCAAACCTTTGTGGATTTTTCTGTTTTTTCAAATATTTTCTGGATGAAAAGTCTTTTCTGACTTTTCCAGGTTTTCCATGACCGTATGAACCCTGCTAATAATAAAATAAATAAATATTTAATGGGGAAATGTGTTAGAAATGAACATTTTTTAATTTGCTGCTCTTCTAGAAGAGTAAATGCCACAATTATATGACTTTAATAAAAACAGTTCATTTAACCTGACTGACAATCTAATTTAGCCCCTACATGGAAAATGTCGCACAAAAATAGCATCATGCAGAGAAACGGAAAACAGGACTCATTATTAAATCAGCAAATCTCTCCCAGTACCACATCATTTGAGCAATTACAAAGTCTAGACACATTTAAGAGTCAATCAATATAATGTAATAAAAAACCCTCAAAATAACCA